GTAGTAGTAGTAGTAGTGGGAGGAGAAGCAACAGCAGCCGCCGCAGCGGTTTGTTGTAGGAACCCGGTCGAAATCCTACATTTTCAGGACTTTTGCCGTAGCTTAAGGCCTGCATCACAGTAGCAAACACCTGCCTCAGCCAAGCGCAATCCTGAGGGCAAATTTTCACAGATGCCAAATTTTGGCTGCATTTTTTAGCCGGAATGCGCGCGAAAACATACTTTCAGCAACATTTCCCGGCGTTTTTCTCTGAAATATTTGTTTTGGGCCTTTTCAAGCTGTCATTGAATTTCGGAGACGGTCGCCACTTCGTCGGGTCAGCGCCTTCGTAAGCTGGAAACGCACGTTTCAGCACGTCTGAGGACGTCTTCTGCACGTCCAGCTTATTTGCTTGCCTCGGGAAGCATTGGCCAGCGAGTCAGCGCATCCATGCTCCAACCAAATTCATATTCATTTCAGAGATCATCGGAGGACCAGCGCATCCATGTCCAAGCCACTCGTCCGCGTCATATGATTACCCAAGCATCCATTTCCAGTCCTTGGGGGGGAGGCGAAAGCAGGTTTATATGCGCAAGCCGCGTGAAGCGGCTGTTTCACGGACAAGGTCTTTGCTTTCGGTCATTAGCACAATCTATGCACGCAAGTAGCCGTATTGACTCCAAGCCTCCAAGTGGCCCTCATATGAAAAATCCCAAACTAAAAGTTCGTATGGAATCCTAAGGGCCTTGTTATGGAAGTGGTAGTATGAACCCCTGGTGCCCCGTGTGTGAGAAAATCCTAACAAAAAGTTTGGGACGGCCCCCTTGCATCAAAAACATCCGAAGTAAACGTATTGAACACCAAGGGCTCGTTGCAAAACATCCGAAATAAACAACATGGAGCCAAGAAGCACCCTTTGTGAAAAAAGGTATGGAACCCAATGGCCCCACCATCGGCCTTTGAATCCACGGCCGATTGCGGACGGCGTGCCTGGCAATTGCTTCCACGTGAGGATAAACGTCTCCCCCCTATTCAAAACCTCACCGGAGTATGCGGGTTAGATGGATTTTACGATCAATTCAAATCCAACAAAAATTCTAATTGAATTCAACGCCCCACGACAGGCTGGAGCAGCAAAACGCCGCGGACTCCGTAGACTGCGGATTGTGGCATCTTCCCGAAAAAAAACACCAAACACCGTGCAAGAAGACAAAACCCTCCCTAAACACTGAAGCAGCTTGTACCGCGAAGTGTCAAGAGAACGAAATCATCTCCCTGAGCCCCCCCTCTGAAACAGTGACGCAGCAGCTTGCACCCTTAATTGTCAAGAGAACGATTAATCATTAATCGTCAAGAGAAGGAAATCATCCCCCCGACTCACTCCCCCTTAAGAACCCTGAAGCAACTTGTACCGCTTTCCGCTCAGAACACGACATGTGCGGCAAACGAAGGTGAT